TTGTCGACTCAATTAGAAATATCAACGTGATTAGTAAAAAACATTTTCTCATTAGATGTCACTTCTCTTTTTAACAAATGTTCCTCTCACAGAAACTATTTGTTTTTTATATAACTATATTGAAAACAATAATCTTGATATGTATATCCCAAAACATTATATTAAACAACTACTTCTACGATGTACACTCAACGTACAGTTTAGATTTCATAATGTTTCCTATAGATAAACAGATGGAGTTACAATGCACTCTCCATTGTTATCTCTCTTGACTGATTGTTTCATGACCAATCTAGAAAATTCGATACTTCGACCAATAATTAAGAGATTTCATTTATATAACAGAGATATATGGGATGATTAGGGTAGATTTTAATACCCGGTTGAGGTAAAAAAAAACATTACAAATCAATAATTTTTATTATTGACTGTATATGAATTAAAACCTTTTTGTTTTACGGTACTTTGCATATCCTGTCAACAGGGATAATTTTAATGGAACTAATGAAATATTAGAAATAATTTCGAAAACTATTTCCAGCCAAATTTTTTGTCAGTAATGACAGTCATTCACTAAATGATTCATTTTATATTTAACTTTCCTTTAAAAAAGACTTTATTTCATAATAAACTCATAATGAGCAACGGAAATAAAAACAAGATTGTAAACTGAATCTAAATCATTAATCATATATATGGAGTATCATTACTCATAAGTAATGAATAGTTAGTTTTGGAAAACATTTTAAAGTGTAACACTAAGTGATTGAAGTTTGAATTTCATGTGAATTGTTGATTTCTTCATGATTTCATGCAATTAGTTCCTGAGGAAGCCCTAACTTGGAATCCTGAAGTGAAGCGGAAAATTGGAAGGCCAAAGAACACATTACGTCGGATAATAGAAGCAGATATGAAAAGGATGAATAACAACTGGAAGGAGTTGGAAAGGATTGCCCAAGACAGGGTTGGATGAATAATGCTGATGAGCGGCCTATGCTCCTTCACGAGGAGTAACAGGCCTGAGTAAGTAAGTATGAATTTAAATAAAACCAGAACAAATATTGACGCAGAATAATGTGATTTCATTATAGTTCGTGGTTACTCGTCAGCTTCTTACAACCAAATATGTATTAGAATTTTATATTGAGATAAATAGTACAGAATGATTGATATAAGTGAAAGTAAAGGACTGGAATGACAAAGGTTATCAATGATAACTATATATATATATATATAGATATGCAAGAACAGATCAGGGGTTATTAGGTGTTAGAATCAAGGAAACGTTAAGGATGGGTGCTGTAATAGTGAAGCTCAGAGACAGATAATATAAATTGTGTAATAATTTTAGAAGTAATAAAGGATTCATGGAATTGAAAAGTTAATAAGATGGGTTACGTATTAATTGAATAGAGTTTGAAGAGTTCACATAATTTAAGAGAATCAAGTGAGTGGAAATGTGTGAAGTTTTTTTTATCGCGATTGCTTCAGCAAAACGAAGAGCAGCCGTACTTCTTTGTTTGCTAATAATTTTATCTGTCTCTGAACTCCACTATTACACCACCCCTCCTTAATGTTTCTTTGATTCTAACACCTAACAACCTCTGATCTGTTCTTGCATATCTATATATATATATATATATATATATATATATATATATATATATATATATATATATATATATATATATATATATATATATAGTTATCATTGATAACCTTTGTCATTTCAATCCTTTACTTTCAATTATGTCAATTGTACCATACTATTTCTTATCTCAATATAAAATTCTAATACATATTTGGTTGTAAGAAGCTGATGAGAACCACGAACTATAATGAATTCATATTATTCTACATCAATATTTGTTTTGTCTTTATTTAAATTCTTCATGTTTATTTGATACTTTATCAATAGTGTATACTAGCTAGTTGAAAATCTAGGTCAATAGTTTGTTATTAATTAACTTCTAATATCAAATTGTCACAAGTATTTGGGGTTTTTTTCAAACTACTGTGGTGTGCGCTACTTATATTAACATAAGTAGTAGATGATGTTAGTCGTGAACAGAATGTCTGGCAGCAGAGAGACAAGAGGATCTAACAGTAAAGAATGGAAACAGGATGGAATTTGTATGAAAATGCAAGAACAATGAAGTCTGAGTCATTATGAGACAATTGATGAACATTTTACAAATTACGTATTTACTATTTGATTGTTAGATTTTATTAGCAAGTCCTGTAATTTCGTGTCAAATACATTCGATTGTCCCCACCCGTGTTCTGTTAACTACGCTGCTACTTGTAATTAAGGTAGTATAGAATAGTCATTATTTTTTAAATATACGCCAGGTATCAGTTCTCAAAAAAAGACAAACAGTTAGTAACATATCTTCACTTCGATACAAATGATTGACAAAATACTTTTAGTCTATGAGATATAATAGAGTATTTTAATCCCATATCCCATACTAGGACGAAACGGCCGTCCAGTACTTCAATCATGATCTAGCTTTAATTGACTCATAAATTTAGAGAGACTACAATTTATGGATAAACCAATCAGATTTACGATAACAGGTCTTGAATTTTGGCACGAAATTCATTCATTCATTTGGTTAAGTGGAGTTTTGGGATTATAGCTGAAGTCAGTTCGTTATGTAAACCGGTATATCTGATTCCTAACCCTAACTATCAACTGTTAATATTAATCCTAATTCCTCACACTGGTGTATAACCCACGTTTAGCCGTAGTATGTAGGTGAAAATTCTCAAGGTCTCTTTAGCGTCAATCAGAGGTCGTCCATAAATTATAGTCTCATGATGAATCCAACTATTAAATTCCTATCACTTTTTCAGAAAATGAATATAAATCTTGTGAACAAAATAAATCTTTCTATTGAAATGTATTTACTTTGTTAGATATATATGGATTTATTTGTAGTAAACATATGGACATTGATTCACTTGATATTGTTTTACTCGAATCTAGCAATTGATGTTTAGGAATGCAGTTGATCAGTATCTTATTGGCATATGTGCATACTGTGCGTATTGCACCGATATTGCCTTAATTACGAGCATTCTAAGCAAAGATGGCTAGTGGCTAGTAGTGGAATCCAGGATGCGCGTTCCGTCCTATTTGGGACTCGTCAGCTGGATGTACTTGGTCAATCGCAGTCCTAAACATCGATGGGTAGATTCAAGTAAAACAATACCAAGTGAATTAAACTTCACCCCATTTCACAAGCAAGTGGCTATCAGGACTCAGTAGCTCAGTGGATAATTGATGGCGTTTGAAGCGAACAGTACTGGGTTCGAGTCTCAAAGTGGACATCAACTCTGAGATGCAGGTACATCCAGCTGAAGAGTCCCAAATAGGACGAAATGCGCATCCTGGATTCCACTACTAGCCACTACCCATCTTTGCTTATGGACATTGATTTCATGAGATCTGTACAACTAACGATTAGACATACACTGAACAAGATGTTTTAAGAAAGTATTATTTTTTTAAGAATACATCATAGGAGTTACGATAGTTATTTATTAAAAACCAACAAGTTACAAATTCAAACGTAGCATTATCCACTATGATTGATTTAGCCAACTTTTACACAGTGTGATTAAACATTATATACTTTATTATCCAAGACTGATTAAATATATACATAGTCAGTCTATCATCGTATTATCATGACGAGTTAAAATAATACATCTAATCTGTGATAAAACCTACTGACAGTCTAGACTTCCAATCCTTAAATTAAATTGTAACAAACTAAAACAAAATTATGTGAACAAGTAATTAAAACAATTTCACATGAAGAGTGAATGATTACACAGAAAGTCAATCTGAAAAAATAAACATTATGAATAAAAAGGCGATATGGGAAAAGTAGATGAAACTGAGTGTTAATGACAGGAATTCATTGTTGTTGTTTTCTTATCTAAATATTAATTTTCCTGCTTTTTCTCTCCAGCAACTATTCGTGACTACATTTTTTCCTTACATTTTTAAGAAAACTCATTTGACCATACATCAATATTATACAACATTGAAGTAATCAGTCTCTTGTTGGCATATGTGCATCTCGTGCGAACTGCCTTGATAATGCCTTAAGTCACAATAGACTGATCAATCGCATTCCTAAACAACAATGGGAAGATACAAGCAAACAAAACTAAAAGGATTTAAAACTTCACTTCATTGTACAAGCAGGTGACTATCAGAACTCAGTAGCTAAATGGATAATACGATGATGTTTGAAGCGAACGGAATTGGATTCGAGTCCTGGAGGGAACAACAAGTTTGAGATACAGACATATCCAGCTGAAAAATCTCAAATTGGACGAAACGCGCATCCTGAATTCCATTGCTAGCCATTATCTATGATTGCCTAAATAATTATTTCCTTAATAAAATATATATTCTTTGCATTATTAAACCACTTAAGTGAATAGAATTAATAATCTTGTGGGATGTTTATGAAATACTCCAACCGAAGTCATAAATAGTTTATTCTTAAAACAACAAAGTCTTTCCATAGTATCCACTTCTGAAAATTTTCATATTTCTATCAGTTACTTTTCCCGCCTGATTCCATTGTTTTAAATATCCCTGTAAATGCTCAATAATCAATCTTTTCGACTGTCTTATCGTTTTCTGTTTTGATAAAATCGTATTCACAGATGATTCTTTTGAAACATTTACATTATAAATTATTCGTACAGCATGCATCCTTTCTGAAAGCACATGATATAGCACAGGTTTCATATTCTTCTCAACAATGAAAGTCAAAGACTGTCCTCATTTTGTAACATTCTTGTGGTATTCATGGTATTATTATTATCATTAATATTATAAATATTCTTTAACATTTTATGAATTCCTTTATAGTTCTTCAAAGATTTTGAGATAAACTCTACCATATGGTTTTTCAAGATAAATCAAATTACTATATGATAAAATAACAGAAAAGTCAGCTCTAACACTTACTTTATAATGCCTTTGATGCTTGCATACATTTCTGAAAAGAAAAAAATAAGAAGAAGAATATGCTTTATTACACATCAAACAACATTTAAGAATTGTTTCGATTACAGAAAAACAAGAATTGTAATATACTTCAGAGCTTTTACTTTGTACAAACAAACAGATGTTATTATCCTCAAGTAGTTCCTCGGTTCTCTTGATGTATTTTTCTTTGTCCATATTCTCTGTGGTGCATCTTTTGTCCGCTGGGACTACGACAATATCTTTTCTAGTTCTGAGTTTCTTTAAAGCGTTTTGTTCTTGTGAAGTCAGTTGGTTGTTATCCTTCATCCGTTGAGTTGGCGGTTTGTCTTGTTTTTTTGTTGCGTTTCTTCACTTATTCCGGAAGTTTTGAGTGAGGATTCTAGTACTGTGAAGAATTCTAGTTTTGAGGCGTTGCTTGTATTGTAGTTTAAACCCATTTGCAGTAGGTGATCTTTGTTTATCAGTGACAGTTTTGACAGGTTGATCACGCAGTTGCTTGTGTTTTCTTCCATGGTTGGTTTTGAGATTTCGATTGATTTCTTCTCTATGGCGTTTCTTCTTTGTTCTCTGTATCGTTTTCATGATATTTCGATGGCTGTTGTCAAGATTTCAAAATGTTTAGAAGCAAACAGATGTGTCCATTAAAGATTAAACCAACAATTATCAATCTATTAGCGAGTTACATAGTCCACTAAATATTAAATAGTTTCAGCATTTTTGTTTTCTTTCTTTTTCTGCAAGAAATAATCACGTCAATACCTTCAAGCACTAGATTTTGTTGAAAATAATAATAATCATATAACTATTATATGTGTTTATCTTATTTTTGTGTTATTTTTATATTGTAAACATACAAAATACATAATTCGTAATTAAAATTCCCAAATCAACAGATAATTCTTTTGACCAACCAATGTTTACCCTTCTGTTTTTTCCCTTTCCATTAAAACATCCACAAACTTAAACTAGTCAAAGGCAAATTTGTTTTTCGTACAGAATCTTGTTTATGTTTACTGTACAAACTGTATGATTTATTTCATCTATTGGCAAATTATTATACAGGTAGCATTGAAATCCAGGATGAGCGTTTCGTTCAATTCGGGACTCTTCGGCTGGATGTGTCCTCATCTCAGAATTGATGTTCACTCTGGGACTCGAACCCAATACCATTTGCTTCAAACGCCATCTCATTATTCACTTAGCTACTGAATCCTGATAGATACCTGTTTGTACTATGGGGTGAAGTTCTGGATTACACTGCTAGCCGCCAACTATCTCTGCTTATAAAGCTTGTGACTTATGGCTATATCGAGACAGTCCGCACAGGATGAATATATGCCAACAAGAGAGTAATCAATTAATGTCCTAAACAACAACGGGGAGATACACGCAAACAATACCAAATGAGTGTAGAACGTATATAAAAAATTAGTAGACTACGACTATATAAATAGAATGAATTTCTTCGTTTTAATGTCCATCGAAGTATATTGTTTGTAGAATGCTAAGATTTCAGTGAAAAACTTTGAATTTTGATTAACATATTCACTGAATGCTATACTTTTTAGTAAAGATTAAATGGAAAGTATGTAGAGATGATTAGGAAATGTCTTGGTAATTAGCCATTTCTAGAAGTAAATGGAAATAGTAAAAAATCTTAATGAAAATAGGTAATTTTGTCATGACTTAAGGATATTTAGTGCATAAATATCTACACGATGAGACCATCTGATATCAAACTTTTATGTTGGATAGACGGTTGTAGTTATGTAAGTAATAGTATGAGAACTGTCAAAATAATATGACTCTTCTAAATTTCTAGAAATAATAATCAGAAATTCCGACTTTAGCTCTTTTAGATTTACCGCCGGTTCCGAGACCGGGTAAAAGAGGAGAGTTGGGCATGGAATTAGTGACCCCATCCCGTAGAAAACTACCGCGCTAAAAAAAACGCTAACCAGAAAATGATTCGAATTTACTAAAGCGAATTCACTTCACTGTACTTTCTTTGTTATATAACTTGGTTAGTTTAAGGCTAAGTCAGAGTACTTTGAGAACAAAATGTGTGTAAACTGTTGCTATAATAATATCATACTGTTTTTAAGTATGTCAGAGATTTATGAAATATGTTTTCTTTAATAAACCAAATGCTCGTAAATAAATCAATTTAACTCTTTAATTGTAATATGAACTGTTCAAGTCAACATTGATCTTGTGAATTATTAATATCACTTATACACAATTAACTCAGACTGACTGTTTTAGCAAAATATTATCAATTATTACTCTGAATATCAAAAGGGGCATCTGTTTCGCGATTTTTGAAGAATATTGGCTTTCACCTTGAGATGTCATCATTCCTCTAAATGAAGATCCTTTAACTTCCAGGACAGAATTTAAATGATTTAAATGATACTTTTGAGTGAACACATTTTTAGCAAGTTTGTTTTTACGATATGATATATCAAACCGTTCTCTATCCGGACTTGGAACCGGTATTACCATCAAAGAGGTGTTTAGAAGGAGTTTGATCGCGTGACACTGCAATTTTATTCATTCTATTGTCATAAAACTACTCCATATTTTACATTTTGATACATCCGTTTGCTTGTATAATCATTTCATAATCACAGTAAATGGTCTTTTTTGTTTAGATTTTGTTCTAATTCTCTTCCTTGATTGACGTTATGTTATATGCATATCATATATGTCTTTATTTATTCATTAATATAATGAACATATATTTAAATTGCGTGCAAGTGGCTTTTAATATCCGGTATACAGTTTTGTTAATGAAATTTTGATACAATTTCCTTTACACTATAATTTTTAATAAGCTTATTAAATACATATAAAAACCTTAGTGAAATATTGTCTAATTAATCACTTTGCTATTATAGTCAGTCAGTCAGTCAGTCAGTCAGTAACAACGTAGAACTTCGTACGTACGTACATCAGTTCGAGTTGCCACACCACATTAGCACAGAGATGGACTTGTCGATTCAAATCCCGTAGTGGTAGAGGTAGCAAGAGTATAAGCAGTAATAGAGAAGATTAGGGTTTGGAGATGTTATTTAAAGAGTATAATCCAGTGAAATAAATTTGGAAAGAGAAAGAAAGGGACATGAATAATTCAGAAGATTAGAATTTGGGAGAACACAAAGAGTGGATGCACCTGCGCCATTGCAAACGATTTTGAGCCATGTCATTCAGGATCTCTAACCATCGGTTGCTATCATCTCGTGGTTCCCAACCAGGTAGTCTACACCTATCAACATGACTCAGTCCACTTGTCAGTGACTTCATGGACTTGTGCCATGTTTTAATCTGGCCGCCCCTAGCTTTCTTCCAACCTACTCCTATACCATTGAACATCGCACGTCGAGGCAGTCGGTCGTTGGGCATACGTAACACGTGTCCAAGCCATCTCAACTGATGAAGTTTCACTACGTCATCCACTGATTTGCCATCTTTACCTGGTACCCGTTTCCTAACAACTGCATTACTTACTCGATGGTCCCACGATATACGAGCAATATTTCGAAGACACCTATGATCAAATACTAGTAACCTACGAATATTCTCTACTCTTACCGGCCATGTTTCACTGCCATAAAGTAGGACGGAACGAACTGCTGCGCAGTAAACACGTCCTTTTGTTGATAGACGGATATCTCGCCTACGCCATAAATGACGCAAGTTGGCAAAAGCTAGTCGAGCCTTCTGTATCCGTGCTGAGATTTCGTCACACACTAAACCACAAGGGCTGATGAGACTTCCAAGATAAGTGAAGCGGTCGACACACTCAACTACTTCACTCCCTATCACTAATTCGGGTGTCGATGTAACCCAATCCTGAAGCAACATTTTGCATTTCGAGGGAGAGGATCGCATCCCGAACATGCTTGCATTGTTGCTTAGAGTGGTCAGAAGACTCTGCATTTTGTCAGCGTCTTCACCAAATAAAACTATGTCATCTGCATATTCTAAGTCAACAAGTATCATGTTCGAGAGACTAAATCCAGTCTAAATTAAAAATTAAGAAATATCCATAGGTGGTTATTATTATTATTAACATCATCATCATTCTATTCATTAGTGTTTATGCTTTATTGAGTATGAAGCAGTATATCGTTATGTTATTATATGTTATATATAACCACTCAGTTAATTGAATATTATCAGTTTAGGGGTTGTGGAGATTGTTAAGTTTTTTGATTGAGATCATGAAATGATTGATGTTAGACCACCATTGAAAACCTGGAAGCACTGGACGGGCGTTTCGTCCTATCGTGGGACCGATCAGCAGTGCGCATCCACGGGATTTGAACCCAGGGCCTTCCGTCTCGCGTGCGAACGCTTAACCTACTGGACCACTGAGCTGGCATCCAATGGTGTTAATTTCTATTCATTAATCATAATATTTAAATGTTTTCATTATTGATAAGATCCAAATTACGGTAATTTTCAATAATCTACCAAAATTAGCTTATAATTTGTAGGATTTATAAAGTTTATTTAAATCAAAATCAGCATCATACACTATTTTAATGTTCTGATAAATTCATACTATTTTTTCTGATCTCGATAAATATGATAAAGGAGCTTGGTTTTAAATCATTTTCCAGTAACATATCGTGTTACTATAGAAACGTATATCATAAGAAAATCTTCCCTCTATATATATATATATTACCTTGTATAATCGATCTCGTTCTACCATCTCTCTTCTACGTCTGCTTGCCTACAGAAAAGATACCAAAATTAAAGAAAAAAAATCTAAATGAACTAAAATAACACTTAACAAATTTTGAAATAAACATCATCAAAATCATTAATCGATTATACAATGTAGAACAAAAAACACTGGTTAGTGATTAGAAAAACATGTTTCGACATTCGAATTATCTAATTAATAAAAAATCATATTGACTATCAATTATAATAATTGTGAACACTAATAAATCATGAGCCAATAGGTAAGGATAGTTAAGGATAAAGCTATCTCATGAATAATACATTCAGGACTGGAGTAACATTAGTCTATTCAGACACGATTGAATCAAATTGTAAAGACTTAACATGAATTACAATCCAATGTATAATTGTTTTTGTGTTCAATAGACTGTAACAATATTAACCTTCAACTAACCATAGTCAGTGAATATTAATCTTCTCTTTTGTTATTCTACTGAATTAATTCATGCTGAGTTCAATATTGAAGATATGAAAGATTCCGTTTGGCTTTAACAGACAAATCATAAGACGGATCACGATGACGTTGTTAGCAACTATAAGAATACACATATCTCTACATCAACTAATTCGGAATGTTTTGCAGACTTAAGCTTCACAGATAAAAAATGTGAAGTTAACCAGTTGTCAGATACAGCTCATCGGTCGTTTTAGAGAACAGTATTTTACAAACAGTCAAAAGAGATTGATTTTCGCTAGAGGCATATATTTGTTGCTCGATTATTTTTTCCCAACTCCAGTCGGTGAATAGCATCAGTATAGGCGAAGTCAAGATTACTTACAAATTTGATGAGAGATCAATGTTTACCAGAAATTTTTACAACATTGTAACTTCTCGTCAAACATTAGCAGTTTGAAGCTGATCACATTTTTTCAGGAGTGCTGGTTACTATAAAATATGCATGCAAAAATGTTGCTACTTAAAGAATATCTGTACTACGAGTCTTATACACTGACAAAAGATTGTAGATCAACATGTAATCTGAATGGTAGATAAATACGTTGGGTTAGACTTGATTGTTTATTTATTAAAATCACGTAATATGGCTTTACAATACTCGAGCTGACCAAACATTATCACAGCAATCCCATGCTAATATCAAATGTTACTTGACTAATGCATCATCTTGGGTACACTAGAAGGGTATGTGAATACATAGTGTTGAATGTTGGCTTATCATGACTTCTCTTGGTCATGTATCTTTCTGTCTGCTCTAGTAATTGCTCTGCGTTACCGATAATGTAATATATGGTATTGTGAACTAACTCGCCACCGTGGCAAATAGACTGTCGAGACTAATCCAAGTGTGAATAACGCGACATGTGCTACACAGCAAATACTTCCAAGTCTTCACTCAAATTCATTTTAGGCTGTATGACTACATTAAATGATTGTTTTGTTCTCTGGTAACTCAGTTTGTCAGACAAAATTCTTGGAAACAATAGAAAACAAATGATGATTTGAAGTTTACAGAAAATGAAAATAGTTCAACTTTGCTGGTCAATAATTTACAGTTTATCACCTACTTACATAGTTAAGTACACAAAGTAAGTCAAATCGTTAATTCAAATCAATTAGGATTTCATTAAACAATATACAGCCATTTTTTCAACGTAGAAAGAGTGATCGGTGAAATGTAATCTAATAGATTTAGCAGTAAGAAATTCGAACTGACGAGTATTTTTACTGCACATTGTAGAATAGTCATTGTATCAACCACAATAATGATTATGATCTATCGAACTTAATGAGCACAAATGATGAGTTTTGAAAGAAATTTGGACTATAATGCACTACTGAGGAATATTTTACTGCTGTAAACTCACGTGAAGTAAATTAAATAGCATTGGTATTATGTATATGATTTAGAACATATACTTCACTGCAGCTAGCTTACTTTAAATGTATGTTAGAATATGTATTGCTTGTTTGAATCCTGGCACTGATGTTTAGGAATGCAATTAATTAGTCACTAATTGGTATGTGTTCATCTTGTACATATTGCCAAATATATTCATTAAGTCACAAGTATTCTAATCAGAGATGAATAGTGACCGGTAGTGTAATCCAAGACACGCGATTCTATCTCCAAAGGTATATGAATTAAATTTCACTAACTTTTTTTGACTCAGTGACTGATTGAGTAAGGCAACGGTGTTTAAAGTAAATAGTGAGTTCAAGTCATAGAGTGAATATCCACACACGAATAGAGTTAAATCCAATTGACAGGTCTTAAATAAGACGAAATATGTGTTCTATATTCCACTTTAAGCTACTATCCATCTATACTTATATTAGAATAATTTGTATATATTCATAATCAATATTATAAAAAGTAGTCTGATTATGTTATATTTGATTAGCTTAGAATATTCAAGTCATAATACACCTTTATATTATTGGAAAGGATAAACAGTTATCTGTAGTAAATGTCAATGGTAATAAATAACACGTGTGAGAGTGTTCTCTTTTTTTCCCTTTTCTTTTATGTCTACCTTATAGATACAATAGACTAAAATGAAATATTAAGAATAGTCTAGTCAATTCAAACCCGTTAATATAAAACATTGTGAATGGAACTGGGTTTTTTTTAAATAATTTTGCTTAGTAACAAAAATATATCCTCTATATACACGTTATTATTTCATTCAATATGACAGGAACATTTACAATACTTGAAAAATAATTTAAGTTACATTAATTACGTAATAATTCTTACTTTCTATTGAAGGAATAAATAATGAAATGAAAAGAATAAAAAATATTAAAAAAATTGTGTTGTTGTGCATTATTTATCTTTTTCACATTTCGTATGTGAGCCAACTTCTCAAATATCACTAAATGAGATAGTGGAGAAGATTTATAGATCAAGTGAATGACTGTAATGAAGTTTTGTTCTCAAAGCTGGATGGTCTGATTGTGGAGTTTACATAGTTCTTCTGAACAACACCATTGGCACACACTACAAATAGAAGTCTACCACAACCAAACCATCCAGCTCAGGATAGAAAACTCCATCAAAATCTTTAAATAATTTCATTTTACAAATTGTCATTAATTATAGTAATAAGAAATATCAGAACAGATTTTCTACCCTATTATGAGACTTTACATATCACTTAGTCGGAAATTGAGCCGAAGATATCAAGATACTATTGTCGGAAGATTATTTTAAGATCACTGAGTTTGAATTCAGTAACCAATGTTTACGAACTTCAGGAACCCATGATATAGCGTAACATTTATATGGTGTCATAGAAGAGTAACTCCATCATTCTTCATTACATATAATATAGTTGTATTTACCTACAAAAGTTTACATAAATATCTGATGATGATAGTAATTAACAGTAAATCATAGGGAAAAAACTGAAAATCTTACAAATTATACGGTCCTATAGGTATCATTACCAAAGTTTGATTTGATAATTTCGAATAAATTGGGCATTGGGTAGATTTTTATGAATAAATAATGTATTTGTAATATCTCACTGAGTAAAAAATTAGATTTTCTGGCGTTTCGTAACTTAGTGTAAGCCACTTCTTCGGAGAATAAATAGTCAAATCAAAATCGATCCAAGTTCAAATAGTACAACGGAACAACAAGAGTATTTTCTGAAGAAGTGGCCTACACTAAGTCACGAAACGTCAGAAAATCTCATTTTTCTACTCATTAGTCTTAGTTTATTCATATGCAGAAATGTATATGTGTAACTATAACACTGTTCACAGGATGTAGTTTGTAAGTTTTGATTTATCCATTTATTGATCAAACCGTTCGATAGATTTGTTTCGTACACTATTTCTGAAAACACATCACTAGATCAATGACTTTCTGGCTTTACCAACTTGAAAAACATCATGTTTAAGAGATGATTCCAAATTAAAACAACTGAGGAGCATTATCTTCTGAAATGATGGAATTCCTGATACCGGTAAAGTGAAACCTAAACTCATACGTAACTGTTTACTTATAACTTTTAAAATGCTCAAAAACATATAAAAAATAGAGTCTATTAATGAATTTTTATTACTAGCTGGCGTAAGTATTCAAAACCATCAATTATATGAAGAATGATAAACTAAAACAATTCATACTCAATGATTTTCATATGCCATATGGTTTTATGTAATAAACTTCAAAGTAGGAGATAATGATCCATGTTATACCTGATTATCGACTGAAATCTTTATAATTTTGAGTAGAAACCTAGAAAGTAATATCACTGATTACATTTCTGTTTATTTACTTATGGTATAATCGAAAATGTAATACAAAATTCTAAACAAAATTTTATACTTACGTCAAAATACAACCAAAATATAAATGTCAAATGAGCTAGTACATATAATATGCAGAATGAAACAAAAACATCTCTTTCAATTCTCATCATTAATCGACGTTTATGTTGTTCACGATTCTTTGATTGTAATGCTAAAGCTATCCATGTTTGCTGATTGAATTGTTGAGATAATTTCTGTGAATTTTGTGTATCAATAATTCCTTTATCATCATTTGAAGTGATATGACCATGTGTAGATTTTTCTATCTGTATCATTAAGGATAAATATAAAATTCATTAATTTCAATAATATAAAAAAAAAGAAAACACAAAGTTCAGCGAGCGGATCTCTTTTCGAAAAAGAATTGTTATCTAGCTGTACAATAGTATTTAGATAATAACTATCAGGATTGTTTTGTATTCAACTCCTAAAATCAAAAGAAACACTTACTACCCATGACATAAATGCTGAACTATATGTACAATAGAAGCATTGCTTATCATTATCTCTAATGTGGCTTTGAAAATATTATTACTATTTTACAATCATTTCATAGATTCTGTATTTGAGAGAATTCCTCTCTTTATTTTTTAGTTATTTCTCATATCCCCATAATTTTATTGATGATTTTTTCTGATATCATTTCGTTTCTTTTCATTTCGATAGTGTAGTAAGAAGACGAAGATTATCAGAACTATGTGATATAATATTGGGTCATTTAATCCTGTTTGTTTCTGAAACGATTTAGGTACATTCTAAGCAAACATGGATAGTGGCTAGCATTGCAAACCAGGACGCATGTTTCGTCTTATATGGGACTCGTCAGCTGGATGTACCTGCGTCTCAGAGTTGATGTTCACTCTGGGACTCGACGCCATTTCCATTCGCTTCAAACGCTATCGCGTTATCTACTCAGTTACTGGGTCTTGATACTCACTTGTTTGTGCAATGGGGTGAAGTTTTAAATTCATTTAGTATTGTTTTAATTGAATCTTCCCATCGATATTTAGCAACCGAATTTTGAGATCACGATTACTTCTCCTTATGTATGTGTGACCAAACATATTTATTTTAACAAAATATATTTAGTTATATTACTCTGTTAGCGTTATGGTCCACTGTTAAGTAGATTTTATACACCATTTTATTTACACACCTCACGTAAACATCATACAAAATTTTATTGTTATTGTTTGTACTATATCACCTGGTGTTATAATCTTTCTGTTACGTCATGTTTGTTTATTGCTCATATTTCCATACAAAATTCATAAATTAAATTTAATGTCATTAAAATAACCATTGTGTCATCCGAATAAAGAGAATTCAACGAAATTTACTTTATTTATTTGAACACATAAATATTAGTACAAAGGGGCATCGAATAGAAATGCGCCACACAGGTCTCTCGATTTGTGTGTGCGATATGATACTGTTCGGATGCCCAGACCAAAACGGATGGTTTTCTTAGAGGGACACGCCTGGAGCCTTCGACCTAAAGGTCTGATCCACAAAGCAGTGGAGCATCGTCAAGACATGCAGTCACATGATAGCCGGTGACCAACAATAGTATCATCGATCAGGATCTTAGATCCCATGCGCACCATTGGTTTGGAATAAGAGTTTTCCAACTCTCTGCTGAAGCACTGCTGAAGAGTCGGGGAACCACCAATTCCAGCCCGAACTCTGAGTGTAAAAACTATACGTCCAACCTCTTATCCATTTTTAGCCTCAATTCACTTCTATAGTATGTTTTTTCTTTTTCTGTACTGTAATCAGTTATTATTATACTTTAACAATTTTTCATGACTATAATCCAGTTGTTATCATGACTTTAATGTTTTTTTTATTCATATCTGTCAAACGGACAATTATCTTTCATCTTTTTATTCTTCTCTACCTCACTCCCCCCTATTATTGCGTTATCACATTTGATATTTGGAGTCTCGAATCGCTTTATGATGCAATCTTTTCTATCCTGCTAAGACATTTATTTACCATACAACCATAAATACGAATATACATCTTATATATATACTATTGTACAGTTTGATAATAAAATCTTTGAAAAGAAATCCATTCGCTGAATTTCATGTGTTCAACGTTAAAGTAATACTTCGATGAAAACATGAACCACAAAAAACAAAATAATGCAATGTAGAAAGCAATTGATAACTGATTTACCAAATGCAACAATGTGACTTAGGGAAGTATTGTAAACCAGAGAGACAGAGAGAGACAAACATGATAAAACAATTACCGAGATTTAAGAACAGAGGAACAGGTATGTGAAATACTTCGAGGGACTCTTGGATAGATCAGACCCACTGAAGCCATAGGACATGAAAGCAACACATACAGACCTGCCTACCGATGTTATTCCACCAATTATCGAAGAAATCAGGATGGCCATCAGGCAAATCAAGAGTGCAAAAGCAGTAGGACCTGATAATATACCAGCTGAAGCATCAAAGTCACGAGTAGAAGCAATTGCAAATATGATTCACACTCTATTCAGGAAGATTTGGGGAAAAGAACAAGTGCCACTAACAAAATGGAAAGAAGGATTACTCATCAAGATACCGAAGAGAGGAAATCTGTCTTCCAGTGATCGACTGGATTATGAAGACCGCAACATCTGAGTGTGAGCACAGGATATAATGAACAGCTCAGAATCAATTAGACAGCTTACACTATGCAGATGACATGGCCCTTCTATCTCATCCACATCAACAAATGCAGATGAAGACAAATAGTGTAGCGGCAGTTGCCTGTGCATCAGCAGACCACAACATACAGAAGGGAGGAAGCAACATCCTCAAATACAACACAAAGAACACCAACTCAATCATACTTGATGGAGAAGCTCTGTATTAGGTGGAATATTTCACGTATCTGAGAAGCATCATCAATGAACTAGGGGGATCTGATGCAGATATGAATGAAAGATTGGCAAAGCACGTACAGTATTTATACAGTTGAGGAACATTTGGAAGTCGAAACAAGTGCCTTGAGGAAAACATAAAATTCAGAATTTGCAATACGAACGTGAAGACAGTTAGTTCCACTGTAGGGAATTGAAACGTGGTGAACTACTGCAATGATTACCACACTGTTACAAGTATTTTTAAACAATTATCTACACAATGTACTCAATGTCCGTTGACCGGATACCGTCAGCAACGATCTACTATGAGAGAGAACAAATCAGCTTCCATCTGAGTAAGAAATTAGGAAAGGACGATGGAATCGAATAGGACATATTTTGGTGAAATCATCAAACTGCATCACGAATCAAGCGCTAACATGGAATCCTGAATGGAATCGGTAAAACGGAAGATGAAAGAAAACACTTCGTTGATGATTGGAAGCAGATAATGAAAATGATGAATAGGAACTGGAAACAAGTGGGGGGTATTGTATAGGACAGAGATGGATAGAAAATGTTGTTGGTCAGTCTATGCTCTACTACGAGGTATAACATGTATAAGTAAGTAATAAGTAACCATTTAACTTGTAACTAACTATGTAAGCAACAATTATGTATACTTGTTATCCACTCTTTAATATTATCAATAATGTTTAACACTAATAACCACTGAACAACAAAGAAATATTTTACGAGTGTTTAACATCTATGAAATCCTTTAAACTGTCCAAGTAATTTAAAAATATATTATTCAGTAAGATAAATAATTAAACTATACTGACCTGGGTTAAACTTATATTATTTTTAACATCAATATAATCATCTATACTGGTATCCTTTACTTGTCTAGATGTTACGTTCATTGTAGAAGAATGCGGAAATGTTAACTCTTTATAACGTTTCATAAATGAGAATTGAGGATTGGTTGATCTTAAAAGATTTTTTGTTGTAAGCTGTTCAAATTCTGCATCACTTGGTATTAATGTGACTACTGCATGCCATACACTAACAACACATAATATTGCCAGTGACATTAATACATATTTGTCCTGTAAAAATGGAAACAAACAGTTTTTTAATTGTTGAATTCATGAGTCAATATAAAGTAGAACACCACTGAAACCCTAGAAGCACTGGAAAGTTGTTTAGTTCTAGTATAAGACTCAAATCAAGGACCCTTGGCCTCGCGCGCGAACACTTAATCTCTGGACCACTGAACCGGCACCTAACTGTGTTAATGTCTAATAATCTTTCATCAAACATATTAGAAAAATATATTTAAAATTACATGATTATTAAATTAGAAATATTCATTTTGTTTACTTAAGGTTTGATACTGACTAACTATATTAAATAGTTCTATCAGTCTTTCATAAGGACGTCTTCACAAGTCATTTGAATGAATTATTTAGCCGCTGAGCTAAATGATCATTTATGAATATAATGGAGAAAAGAAATTTAGAAATTTACTAGATCTAGATTTTGGTTATCATGTTTCAATAAAGCAAATGTCAAAAAAAAACTACTATGTTTTCTTTGAAACATTTATCTGGATCATAAACAAAGATGGATAGTGGTTAGTAGTGGAATCCAAGATGCGCGTTTCGTCCAATTTAGGACTCGTCGGCTGCATGTGCCTGCATCTCAGGACTCAATAACTAATTGAATAAAAAGACGGCATTCGATTCCCAGAGTGAACAACAACTCTGAGATACAGGCACATCCAGCTGACGAGTCCCGAATTTGTCGAAACGCGCATTTTGGATTCCACTACTAGCCACTATCCATCTTTATTCATAAAGTTTGTGAATTAAGGCAATTTCAAGATAGTTCGCACAGGATGCATATATGCCAATAAGAGACTGATTAATTGCAGACCTTAACAATAATGAGAAGATACAAGTGAATAATATCAAGTGATTTTACGCTTTGTTTTTAAAAAAATAGAAATTAAATAGTATAAGCTTTCAACCTAATAAGGATGGAAACTATAACCATTAAATATACATATTCTAAACACACACACACACGTATATTGCTTGTTTTCAATACATATCTTTTCTATTAATTCATCAATAAATGTAAACTGTGCACAAATTTTCATTCCTCCACCCCCCCTAAAATTAACATATTACTGAATATGAAGTACACATTTCTCAATGTATTTTGTTGTGCTTTTTTACACACTAAAATAATTTTATTATATTGGTTTGTTTTATTACAATCTGGTCAAGATTCAACATTCAAAAGGATTTCTTTCAAGTTTCAACTGTTTCAAATCATTAATTTGTTTATTGTTGTTGATCATTTAAAGATCCTTATCATATTGGGGAAATTATTTATTATCCCAGTAAATTGACAAATTAATACTGTTATAAATGAATAGATTCGATTAGACATGAATTTAGTTGTAAATGATTATTAATAGAAGATATAGGATCATGTTAGCACAGATTTATTACTGTACTAGAACAAATTTATCTAGTCAGAGACATTACAAATATTTAATAGTTGAATTCATGAGTCCATTGAAGTTAGACCACCATGGAAAACCAAGAAGCATTGAAAGGCCGTTTCGTCTTGGTATGCGGCAGCTCAACAGTGCGCATCCACTATTCCGTCTTACGAGATTCGAACCCAGGATCTGTCAGTTTCGTGCACGAGCTCTTAACCGCTAGACCACTGAGTTGGCATCCAACAGTGTTAGTGTCTAACTTCAACCAATCCAATCCATTAATTTACCCAAATCATATTGATTGTAGTGACTAACTTTACAGAAAAACAATCTAGCCAAGGTCTTATCCTTAGTCAATGGCATCACCATTGGAATATCCTTAAATCTCTGTTTCATAAGTTACATATAAAAGACTACAATATCACTGACTGTATTGTTTAATCAGACAGGATAATACTATTTAATAACTTCATTTCTTGTTGATTACTCATTGTGTTTGTTTTAATTAAATATCATTAAACATCATTAAATATCATTGCGTTTGACATCTGAGTCATATTCTTTCCTGTTTATATTGGAATATAACTTATAAATTCACTTGATGTCGTTTATTTGTATCTTCCATTTGTTATTTAGGACTGCAATTTATAAGTCTCTTATTAACATATGTGTATCCTGTGCGTATTTCCTCGATATTACTTGAAGTTACAATGTTTATAAATAAAGATGGATAGTGCTTAGTGATGGGATTCCGGACACGCATTTCGTCCTCTTTGGGACTCGTCAGTTGAATGTACCTGCATCACAGAACTGATGTTCACTTATTATGTAAATAATAAATTGAATTATTGGGAAAAGCTTCATTGAAAAATTTTCATGACAACATACTGTAGACAGTCATGAAACTGAAAATATCTATTGTTAATAGCATAAAACAGTATCATAATTTCTATTTTAGTATATTTTTACATTTGATATCTTCATTCCTATAAATAATTTAATGTTTTTTTATGAAAACAATGTTTTGAATATACGATAGCAACATCAATGATACTCTAGGCATTAAATAAATAAAATACATGTTTACGTAATGTCTGAAATCCTTTAGATTAGTAACCAGAGGAAAACCTCTAATATTAATAATAATAATAATAATAATAATAATAATAATAGTGACAGTAATTACTAGGTTTAATTAATTTAACAGTAAAAAGAAATTATTTAATTTACCATATATGTTAAATAAGAGATTTTCGGTAACGACTGATTAATTACAAATTTGAAAGCAACGGAAGTTAGAAATAATGTAAAAGATAATTGAAGTCGATTTTCTGGTCGTTCCGGTGGTACAGCAAATGTTGCAAATGATAATCCTGTGATAAAAAACTAGAATATTCAAAGAAATAAGATATAAAAACAATAAATGATTAATTTAAATCAAACTGTATATAAATAAATGTATTTTATTTTATTTTAAGATAGTAATGATGCGTTCAGCATTGTCTTCAATGAGTTACTATCTCATCACAGAATTGGTTGAACTCCACTGATCATGGCTTTTCACTAAAACTCTAAGAAATACTTCAGTGGTCTAGAGGTTAAACGTTCACACGCGAGACTGATAGGATGTGAGTTCAAATCTCATATGAATGACTGTAGATGTGCACTGCTGATGAGTCCCATACTAAGACAAAACGGTCGTCCAGTCCTTCGAGGTTTCCCATGGTGGTCTAGCTTTAGTTGACTCATGAATTCAACTATTAAATTAACACCAGTCAGTTATATGCGAATTATGCGGAAATTTTACAATATGGAGTTAAATAAATGAATTATTGTGTGTGTGCTAGGGTTGAAGCTATCACGAGTTCACTTAATCTGCGAACGAGAAAACAAGACTCGGTAACCAAAGACCAGTAAGCTAGCTATTGATGTGTCCCAGCCCCGCTAACTAGAGGGAGAAGTCCAACCTTGGAATGGGGAAGTATATTCTGCAAACAGCCAGAAACGAGCGATAACAACAAACACAATTCAAAACGTATATATACAGTACAAAACCGTCCCTGGGGAGAGTTACCAAATGGCATACTAAAAGAACCAACGGCCTAATAGCATTTAAGATATTTTCCAGTGGGAAATACGACATGAAGGTGACAAGAGCGCCTTTGGTGCGAAAACAAAGAAATTCAAATTTTCTAAATAAAATTACAAAAGTAGGTCCTTTCCCAAGTGAGTTCTGGGGATCTAACGTCCCCAACAAACCTCCCCTTTTTAATAGCGTACTTTCCTGGGGTCAACTTGCATCTTGACTGTTGCTCGCTGCTGTCGGAGAGGCCACCTTCTGGAACGGAGATCAGCTTGTTGTTGAGCTTCTTCTCATGGTCGGACTGCTGGTAAGTTGAAGGTATCAAGCAGGATGTCAAGGGGAAGATTTACTCCTGTTGATGGGCGGTCTTGGGCTATCCGCTCCCGTAGTTGGTTTCTTTTTCTGGTCCACGTGTCTCTTCCCACCTTTACCTCGTACATAACTTGGCCTAGTCTTCAAACCACACGTGCTTCGGTCCAAGGACCATGATTTGCTAACGTCTCCAGCAGTGTATTTGTGTAAGATTGAGCTTTTTTAGTTGTTATTCGGTGTTAATTTGTTGTTATATGAAGTTAAAATAAAAAGTGCAAAGTGAAAATGCTTTTTTAAACGTCGGTGTGCATGTAAAATGAGAACTATCAAATGTATAACTTTAACATCCCGGATCAATTTCTGTCAGAATAATGATGGATGTGAAATAAACAGGTTGGATAGAGACAGAGTCCAATTACTTGTTAATGAACATTGGCTTCGTGGTAGCTATTTGAATACCATCTTTTCTGTTCAGGCTGTTCTTATTAACCCATGTATACAGAGCTTCTAATGTCAATCTTTCTTTATGTGTGCTAAACCCTTTCTGAAGTATTTTGTTCCCTTCGAAGTTAATCTTGTGTTCTGTTTCTAACGCATGTAATGCTATCGCCGACATATTCTCATGTTTCTTCAGATCAATCGAGGTTTTGGAAACATGTTTCAAACATAGTTTGTGTTCCTTCAACCTCACATTTAATTATTTGCAAGTTTCTCCAACATAAGTGTATTCATTTGAACTACCTGAACTATTTCGTTCGAATTTGTTTATATTTCATAGTACTGGTGTATCATTTAAGCATTCATGTGAATAGTTTTATAGCAGTATGACACAATAGATCAAAATACATGAACTTAGAATTGATACACTTTATTAACAAGAATGTAAGCAAGATTTAGAGATATGAAACCTATCGAATGAAGTACAATTTGAGGTACCAGAAATGAATAAATACTTTTTGATAAAACGTTTGTTTTCATGTGAATTCTGTCACTGTTATCTAAACAGATAGGAGGTTGGAGGATTTTATGAAGTTATTTGAGCAGGGTACTTCATAGAGGACAACTGGATTTATTTTAGTGTTTTGTAATTATGCAAGCTAACGAAAATATTTTATAAGATTTTCATTATAAACTCTTAAAGATAATTTCTGAAATGATATCAATCTTAAATGATGCAATCAAAATGTTTATCTACGTCAATAGCTTCTAAACTGAAATTCTATATTTCTTACTCAGTTATAACTCTTACGTTGAATGAAACGCTTTTGGCAGCTTGATTAAAACTGAATTGTTTTGCGAAGAAAGTATACTAAACTACCACTGGTCTTCAGTGATTAATCGATAACTCTGACATTAAGTCATCTAATCTATGGATACATTTATTTTGTGTTACCGAATACAGTTACTAAGGTTTTTCCCAATTATTCAAAAAAGGCAATAGCTTACTTTAAAATAAATAAGAAGTCAAACCTTTGAAAACGCTACTTTTTTCATTAAACTCTTAGGAAAATGAAATGAAAACTGTGTAGTGAACTTCGTAGTTAGTCTAGCTCTTCTGTCCCATACACATCAACAAATGTAGGTCAGTACAACCAGTTTAGCAGCAGATGCCTATGCATCAGTAGGCCTCAACATAAACACTGAAAAAAGCAAGGTCCTCACATACAACACAAAGAACACCAACTCAATCACACTTGATAGAGAAGCTCTGTATTAGGTGAAATCTTTCATGTATCTGGGAAGCATCATCGATGAACAAGGAGGATCTGATGCAGATATTAATGAAGGATTGGCAAATCATGTACAGTATTTATACAGTTAAGGAACATATGGAGGTGAAAACAAGTGTCTGGATGTGAACATAAAGTTCATAATCTTCAATATGAACGTCAAAACAGTTTCGTTGTACGGGGCTGAAACTTCGAAAACAATTACAACCTTTATCCAACTGGTACAAGTATGTACAGCCAATTGTCTACGTAAGATATTCAATGTCCGTTGACCGGAGACCATCAGCAACAAACCACTATGGGAGAGAGCAAACCAGCTTCCATCTGATTAGGAAATCAGGAAAAGACAATGGAATCGGATAAGATATATATTTTGGAAATCATCAAACTGCATCACGAATCAGGTGTTAAGTTGGAATCCTGAAGGGATTCGGGAAAATGGAAGATCGACGAAGAGACTTCTTTGTAGATTTGAAGCAGATAATAAAAAGGATGAACAGGAACTGGAAACAAGTGGGGAGTATTGCACAGGAAAGAGATGGATAGAGAATGTTGGTGGTCTATCTATGCTCTTCCACGAGTGGTAACAGGCGTAAGTAAGTAAATAAGTAAGTAAGAGATATCTTTATATCTAGACATATATTGATCCCAAAAAAATGTAGGATACGATGAAACTTAATAACTGGTTTCTGTTTGACTGAAACTTGTCACAGTTTGTCTGTATAATTTATTGGGTTACTCCACTAGAAATACTAAATAAATGACTTTTGTAAAGTAGAAATCTTTGATCGATTTGACAGTTTTTTCCATAACACTGTAGCTGTTTACTGTCTCATATATATATACATATATGCAGCATATGAATTGTTTTGTCGAATAAAAAGACCATCTGTTACCTGTATTCTTAACATTGTTGTTTACATAAGAAACAAAATATTCTTTGCAAAATAATAAGTTTATTAATACAAACAAACTACAGCAACAATGCTTTGATAAATCTGTTTCATGTATTCGGCTAAATTAAACCATTGCTTAACTCAACGTATTCACTTGGCTATTAGAAATTATTTTTAAGTCACAAGTTCTAATCAATTTGATTCCAAAAATATGATTAAGAAAATCCATAAAAAAGCTCTACTTAAGTTATAAAATACTTTAATGCTAGTGTACTTATAAACTGTATGATACGTTTTTATGTTAGATGGTTAGGAGAAACTAGCAGGAATCTCTGAACCTTATATCATTGTTAATTAATATTTATTAGTACGTTATAATTGAAATGTTTAGAGGATTGATACTTCTATTAATATTCAAGCTATAAGTTATGTATTGTCAAAGGATAAGATTTTACCGTTGACCTATTTATACTGGTGATTTCAAGTCACTCCGACTTCACGGTTCAGTGATTTTTGACCGACGGAATTGGACCAGCGCAGAGGATTAAACGTCTACTATACTAGTCAGCATTTAATGATGAATCAGTATATAAAATATAAGTTAGATTTATATGTAGATATATGAACATATAAGTTTATATGTCAAATGAAATTGTGAAGTTGATTATTAGAACAAATATTGGTTTTGGTGGAGTTTTGTTCTCTGAGCTGGATGGTTTGGTTGTGGAGCTTTCATCGTTCTTCTGAACGACATCATCAGCACAAACTTCAGATAGAAGGTGAACACAAGGAGTGAACACAATTTGAAACCTAATCATTCTGGACAATAAGCCAATATTACCAGGGTAAGTTGAAGGTGAGAACAAATTGTTTTTGAATACACAAAGGGGATTTGAATTTTCGTATCTCTAAAGCTTCAACAAACTTTAGTATACACACTTTTACACTTTTATACAACACCACAAAAGCCAAGTTCAATCTTATAACCTATTTCGATTATATGTTTAGCAATAGAGGAGAATGGATAGTTAACATGAGGTAAGAGAAATAATAATGTAATTTAAATAGAGCATGAACAAACATTGATGCAGAACAGTATGAATTCATATTATTTCGAGGTTTCTCGTCAGCTGCTTACAAGCCAAAATTGTGATAGAATTTTTACATGGAGATAGCGTGAAACAGTTGACATAAATGAGTGTAAATAACTTGATTACAATAATAACTATATATATATATATGCTAGAAACAGGTCAGAGGTCAAAAGAGGGGGGTTAATCCAGAGTGGGTGGTGTAATAAGTTAGTGAAGTTCATAAATTGTGTGATAATTGTAGAGATAAATGTAATTAAATAATGATAAGGTAGATTACGTAATAATAATTAAATAGGGTTTGGAAAGTTAAGATGATTTAAGAGGATGTAATGTAATTACATAACAGGAATCACGTAATAAATATATAGAATAATATAAATTAGATACAAATTAATACATTGGGATAAATGGTGGATAAATTTCTCAAAGCATTTGTAAATATTAGAATAAACAATATATTTGCCTTCAACCTGGTCACTTTGTTTTGGAATCAGTAATACAAATATTTAATTGTGGTAAAACTTGAAGAAAAAAATGTATTTTTCATTGATTTATGATAGAAATTTTATTACCAGTAAAATATTATAGTGAAGTTATGTTAATGTCAAAGTTTTCTACTTTATTTTCCTATCCATCTATTACGCAAAATGTATTCATTGCTTTAATAATAATAATAATAATAATAATAATAATAATAATAATAATAATAATAATAATGGTAACGATGTTACCTTATGATAGTATGCTTATCATCAGGTGATATTTGGTATTACAGTTTCTTGTTTTTTTATCATGTAAATCTGATTCTCGAATATATTCTCAATACTAATTTTAACATCACTATAAATAGTTCTTATTATACTTACATGTCACTGTCTTAATTTTAGGTTGATCTAAACATATATGTAACATAAATTTTAAACAAGTAAAAATAATTTTTTGATTGAGATCATGAATCGATTGATGTTAGACCACCATTGAAAACCTGGAAGCACTGAACGGCCATTTCGTCCTATCGTGGGACTCCTCAGCCGTGTGCATCCACGATCCCACCCTCAGGATTCAAACCCAGAGCCTTTAGTCTCGCGTGTGAATGCTCAACCCACTAGACCACTGAGTCGACATCCAATGGTGTGGACGCTCGCGCGCGAGACTAAAGGCCCTAAGTTCAAATCCCGAGAGCGGGATTGTGCATGCGCACGGCTGAGGAGTCCCACGATAGGAAGAAACGGCCGTCCACTGCTTCCAGGTTTTCAATGGTGGTCTAATATCAATCAGTTCATGATCTCAATCAAAAACTTAATAATCTCCACGACACTTATACTGATGAAAAATAATTTTATTTTTGTATTATATTTACTTCTAAATACAATAGTGATGGAGAAGATATGTAGCTGAGGTGGATGATTTTGATAGAGTCTTGTTCTCTGAACAGGATGATTTGGTCGTGGAGCTTTTATCGTTTTTCTGAATGACATCATTAGCACAAACTTCAGGTAGAGGACTTTTACTTCAAGTTGATGATGAAAGCTCCACTATTAGATCATCCAGCTCAGAGAACAAAACTCTATCAAAATACAATAGTCTCAATGTTGTTTATCCAATGTCACTAACTATATCTTCTGTTCATACTCATGATAGATAATCCAACTAAACATCATAAGGAGAACTGATGTACTGACGCACGAAGTTATACGTTGTTACTGACTGATTGATTGACTGATAGTATTTGTTTAAAGCAAACTTTTCATTTAAAGCTTAATGCATGATTTTTTTTCTAATTAACATTATTTTAATGTGTATCCATTATGCACGTTTTTCATCTAGGTAGCTCTTAAAGATAAAGAAAGTAATAATTTATTAAATTAAAATAAAAATATATGAGTTATAATCATTTAAGATTACAAGATAAATACACATATACACACCATCGTCATACCATAATTAGAAAGACATTCCAGTAGAAATAACCAGGCCTACGTGCTGCTCTACATGTAACAGAAATACAAGGATGACTTTGACTAGAATTTGTATATTCTTGGGTAGCCGAACGTCTTGTTATTTCAATATGCTCATGTAGTCGCCATTCCTAAAATGAAATGTTAATTAAATTAGTGTTAAAGATAAAGGTTTAGTATGTTTAGAAGCTTGGTACTTAGGTCAATCAGCAATAAATAAACACATTAAAACTGATTAAATCTACCAAACAAAAAAAAAATCAGTGACAAATATGGAATCAAGAATCAAATCTAAGGGAATACGATCAAAATTATAAGGTAGACAATGACAGGTTAAAGGTCAACAATAACGAATCAAGATCGAAGTCAACAGGACAGGCTTCGAGTTACATATTTAGAAATTTGAACACTTCAATTCGCGCACAAACTATCTATCTAAGAGAAGAAAACTTCGCTTAAATCATTCATTGAGCTGCAAATCTTCTCGACCATCTCAATGTTTTTTTTTTAAATTTGTTGAGAAATAACTCATATTTTTAAATGTGGTAACTCGGTTGGTTTGCTTTAACACAGCACAGGAATGAGTACAAGCTCAATTTTGTCTAGGTTAAACAATCAGAGTACAATAAATGTTTTATTTTAGATCCCAAAGTCAATATGTTTCATCAACTGGAGCTGTTAAAAACATCATCCATAATTTGTAATCCATTCTATTACTCCTCAACTTCGCAATTAACACACGAATGAAAGATGTTCTATTTAATTTATTATTCTTTATTAAAAATTGATCTCCATTTCAAAGCAGTTGGTATCAATTATCTTGAATTCCATATCAAACTAACTTTAAGAGATGAATTTAGCTTTATATAAGAAGTTCTGTTCACGTCCAACTGCGATTTCCCATTGACTTTATCAAAGACTTCTGAAAACATGCTTTCAGTAGTGTAACTGCTTTACACTTAATTATATAAACTAATATTTTCAGTTGTAATTGTCTACTTTATTGACGAATAAGTAATATATTTTATTTTACAAAAATGTACAACAATGATTTCTTAACTCATATTTAAATGTTAAGACTAAAGGCTATTCCATAGCTTACCTGCTGATCTACAAGCGTTTGTAGGTTTATTCTGCAGGGTTCATGCTTATCTGGTATAAGTTCAACCTCCGATTCTGGTCTTTCGGATGTCAGAGTTATGGTCAAATCCTACAATGTAAAAACATCGAGAGATGTTACTTCAAATTGCTGAGTTTGAAGATCCCATAAAATATATTATCATACAATGCATTTTAAAGTTGACATCAAATTTTGTTGGTAGTTTGAAAAATGCCCAATATACTACAACGAATACTGTAAAAATAGCTAACTGCTTTAATGATGTTTTTATGCTCAATTTTATGTACATCATAAAATCTAACATAAGCCTCAGAAATATACAACAAGCTGATGTCCTGAATATTGATATCACTTTGGATACGAGTGCTAAGCACTTTTTAGTACTTTTCTCAATCTTCCAAATTTGTTTGTGATCATAATTAAATTGCTCAACATGTTACAAACAGATCACTTGTTTTTACTTAAACAGACAAAAATGAATAATCAGTGTCTGGATTATAAAATATTCAGAAATCTCACAGGGTGTGTATACCAAAAACTTCAGGTCCATGAAGAAGAATAGTTCTGCTCAAGACCGCAAACAATCTACCTCATTAAAACTTCTAAAGAATGAGAAGGTTTTTCTAGACACGTATTCATCTAACATTCCTCATCAGTTGATCTAAGTAATAATAAGGTTCATACTGAATATTTTGTAATAGAGAGTTATAGCTTATAATCAAGATGCTAGTATTTAATAAACAAGTTGATCCATTTTCCAATGGCGCCTACATTTTAAGTAGTATGAGATTCCATACCTCAATTTAATGTATATCAATTCGTAATCGAATCCAGTTGTTGTGAGTGTTTTGTAAACCTAAATTTTATAAACTATTACTAAGAGGATTTTTAGAAAATATACCATTCTTAAATTGTTCTAACATAAAACTATTATTCATCTCTACATTATCAGTTGGTAATGTGCTACAATAGTTCATGTGCTTGTTAAAAGACTATAGTTCATTAGATATTCATCTTTCAGTTACTTTCACTTCAGTCCTTTTTTTAAACTCAAAACCTGGAATTCGATAGATATTTCAATGTAATTAGAATCTTCAGAATTTATTGATAACATTGAAGTATAAAAAAAAGCATGTCACAGTAACATTGAAGATAATGTAGCTCGTTAGAAAATAGTAACATTTCAATGACCTGGTTTGAGACAATAAAGATTCAACTATACTTAAGGATAAATCCTTATTTCCCTTTGGTTTAAGGTAAGCTAACTTATAAATTATACACTTACTGTCTGAAATCTATTAACACTTTTTTTCGGAACGAAAAATATCCATTTTTCTAAAATTAAAAAAAATTTCAATGGTTAAGATCATAAGTCGGTTGAAACTAGACCACCATGGAAAACCTGGAAGGACTGGACGGCCGTTTCGTCCTATTGTGGGACTCCTGGACTACTGGTTTCGCGCGTGAGCACTTAACCACTAGACCACAGAGCCGGCCGGCATCCAACGGTGTTATCGTCTAACTCCAACTAATCCAGGTTTTCCATGGCGGTCTAACTTCAACTGACTCATGATCTTAACCATTGAAATTACTATTCTATCCTTAAAACCCATCTGATATTTAAAAAAATTGTTAGACAATGAGAAATGTTAGTGTCCAAACCAAATTTCATTTCACAAATAAATTACGGAGATTCATCTGTATAAATATGAATCATTGTTATCTGTTGATGTGTTCTGTTAATAATTATAATCATAATCAGTAATATATTTAAGGAGAATCTTTATATTACATTCAGTAGTTTATGATGATAAGTAGATGTATTATTAATGAGGTTTAGTTAAACAGTGAATATCGTAAGTGTTTAATCTGTTGCTATAATGACTTTTGATCCATTTATTCCAATAAATAACATTGATACATAAAATTAATAATCCATTCAAACTAGTATGTTATGTGCGACTCAAAGGATTTATTTCACGTCAGTATTTCTTATCATAGATTAATTTTGTGAAGATTTTAAAATATTTTGAGGTTGATCTTGATTACTAAATGGTATAAGCTTATGAATCATTCAAAACATGAAGTTCAGAGAAGGGATCTCCTTTCAATAATCGTATATATGTATGAAAATTCTGTTAACGTATTAGTTTCTTGAGGACATATGAACAAGGAATAAACATGATGATGTAACAGAAAGATAATAATACTGGATTACGTAATGTGAATAATAATAATTAAACCTTGTGTGTGCGCAAAAAGAAAGCCTTATTAAACTAATAAGTTAAAAACGGAACATAATGTGAATAAAGTAAGATGATTAAGATAATTTTCAGTCTGCGGTTGTGGAGATTATTGAATTTCATTGAAATCATGAACAGATCTATGTTAGACCACAACTGAGGATCTGGAGGTACCGGACGGCCGTTTCGTCCTAGTATGAGACTCCTCAGCAATGTGTACCCATGATCTCACACGAGGGACCCTAAGCCAGCACCTTCGATCCCGCCGTGACCGATGGAGTTCAACTGTGCCGGATATGAGGCAATTACCCACCGAAGACAATGGAAGATGGTTGCATGACACTATGGATTGGGTCCACGCGCGAGACCGAAGATGCTGGGTTAGAATCCCTCGCATAATATCACGGGTGCGCACTGCTGAGCAGTCTCACACTAGGACGAAAGGTCCGTCCAGTGCTTCCAGGTTTTCAAATATGGTCTGACATTGATCGGTTCATGATTTCAATAAAATATCTTTGTTACAATAATTAAAGGTTATAGAGGAGTTAAATGAAATGAAGTGATATCAGAAACAATTACGTATAAAATCACAGGGATAAGAGTAATAATTAGAGAGAAGGATATTTTCGAATATGAAATATAATAATAAAAGTTTAAGTCCAAGGTAACAGTAAGAATAGGATATACTTCTTTTCTACGTACAGTTCTGGCCTCAACTCATGGATGGAAAGAGCTTTTGCCATTTGAAGGAGTTAGGTACAGAGAAATCTAGATAGATTCGGATGAATTATATCATCAATCTTAAAATCAACCAGTGGATCAGTAAAAAGTCATTAAAAAGTAAAAGCACAGTTTAATTATTTTTTCTCTTCTCCTTTGAGTTGGAATCCAATGGTCTATATATTACACTTTAGTCATTTTGTGGTACATGTAACTCATGAGTCAAAACTGTGTATCAAGTTTATAAAAAAGATCAAGGTAATAAGTTTTTCATTAAATTAGGTTCATAAAGTTGGTAAATGTAAGTCATGAAAAAAGATGTAAGGATAACTCATTCAATCAGGCAAAATAAATGACAATAACTAGATCTTTCTTGGAAAGCATTTAAATCATGAAACTGTGAATTTTCTTTCTTTACTTCAATAAAGTGTGCCCAGGGATCCATTTCATGTTTTCATGACAATATCATAATAAACTGTTTCTAAATAAAGGTTAGATGGTGTGTGCTCGTGAGCGGTTTATGCTCCTCTACGAGGGATAACAGGTTTAAGTAAGTAACTAAGTTGATGTCGTCTTACACAGGTCACAGAATCACTGAACTATTCAATCAATTGAATATTACCTTACTGTTTAATTTGTTATCTTCACCATAACTGCTATAATTTTTTTTTGTTTTTATTTTGATGAAAAGTCAAACAAAACGTTTTGTTAACTATTTAGAAAAATCAGCATGAAATCAATCATGATACATCTGTCAACCGTGAACAGAAATTTCCTACACATTTTCTTTCATTCAAAATTCATTAATCTGTCACCAATTATTAACTAAGGTTTTTTACCCTAAAAAAATACGTACGTTTATTGATTTTAAGGTAGGTTTGACGTTTCTTGTGTATTGGTCAATCACTTATTAACTAGGGTTACATAATGAGATGAAATGTATGTGCGATTGTCTTAAAAATACATATTAGTGACCAGCAGTGGAATCCAGGACGCGCGTTTCATCCACTGCTAGCCACTATCCATCTTCGTTTAAAAAGATTGTGATTTAAGGCTATATCGAGGCAATTCGCACAGGATGCACATATGCCAATATGAGACTGGTCAATTGCATTCCTAAATGACAATAGGAAGATAAATGTAAAACAACACCTAGTGAATTTAACAAGTATACTTTTTATCAATAATAAAGAAAACTCGTTTTTCTAGTTGGATGTACAATGATTTCTGTTAAAATTTCTTTATATTAACAACTAACAGGTACAAATAGTTAATGTGGATAACATGTTAAGGAGTTAAAATGAAAGGTACTGTTTTCGATCCACAGGGTGAGTATCAATGCAGGGATACGGATAAATACAGCTGACAAGTCCTAAATAAGAGGAAACGATTACCCTGGAATGAGCTGACAGCCACTATCCAACTTTGCTTCGAAACGCTCATGAGCTAGAAGGAATGTCGAAGCGACCATATCATGTTCTGTAGATGGCTAAAGAAACTGATTAATTACAGTCCTTTACATCATCAATGGAAAGATTCAAACACTTACAAATGAGACATGTATGCAACAATTAGAGTTTTCATAAGGTTGTACATATGTTAGATCATATATAAAAATAGAATATACAACAAACCACAACCTATATCTGTTAGAAATAGTTTACAAACCATTCCTAGATATGAATACAGGTTCGTTCGTCTGCAAATTAGACGCTTCAGTGCAAGACCGAAGATCCCGGCTTCGATATTCGATGAGGTGGTAGATTAGCGCTACTGGAGAGTTTCATACTGGGATAAAACAGCTCTCCTGTACTATCTGGTTTTCGATACTTATTTAACTAAGGTCAGTGCATGATGTAATCTGGGCAAACTAAACAACCTCTAAAAAGATTCAGTAGTAACAATTTCCTTAATTATTTTAAATACATATTAAAAAACTTGTCGATGAAATGTGAACAACAGCGATTTATAACAACAGCAACACACTGTGTTTATATTGATGGTGAGTATGTATTGTCGGATGCTATATTAAGACCACATGGCTTATTTTAGTTTCCGGAGAAGTCAGTTTATTAATCCTTCTTCAGTCACATTTTAACCTTGTCAATTATTTGATTATAAACACTGACTGATTTCACATGAGCATATGTATGTGCACTTCTCATCCTATTCCTCACATGTCTGTAGCTTATTATTGTTGTCTGATTATAAATATCGATTCACGCTTGAGTAAATCAAGTTAGCTCACACACATTCTCCACCGTGCATCGTTTCGTTTCGTTTTGCTTGATTTCTCTGATTGTTTGTCTAAACAAATGATTGTATGAAATATACGTATTCGAAATTCATTCTTTTATTTGTCTTAATTAATTCTACAGGTTGAAATCATGAGTCAATTGGAACTAGACCACCATGGAAAACCTGGAAACACTGGACGGCCGTTTCGTCCTAGTATGGGACTCCTCAGCAGTGTGCATCCACGATCCCGCACCGCGGGGTCTGAACCCAGGACCTACTGTTAACGCACGCGAGCACTTAACCACTAGACCACTGAGCCGGCATCCAATGATGTTAATGTCTAACTTCAACCAATCGACGACGTTGCGCCACCGTACACAATTGTCTTCAGTGAGTTACTATCTCACAACAGACCTGGTTGAACTCCACTTGTAATTAATTCTTTTATTCACCAGCACGAGTTAAGTCAACTATAATATACAGAGATTGGCGATATACATATGTTATCTCAATAACAATCAGAAACGATCCAAATGGAGTCAGATATAGGGCCATTAAGAGTCAATAGTTGGTAAGAATAACATTTCTTAAAATTTCACTATTCGTAGTTCTATACTTACGGTTTATTTCATTATTATTATTATTATTATTATTTACATTAAATGTATTCGAAATTATTACTTCATATAGACCAATGATAAAAACGATAAATCATAGTTCAAGGCTATTTCTTACCCTAAATATTTGATTGTCTATCATTTTAGCCAAATGAGATTTGTATTTATTTATGTGAATATATATGAGTAATGGAAATGTCAAATACAATTATTTAGTAAATTTACAACAGGTTTTCTTTATATAGTACTGAAGAATATAATCATCTTATTTTGTGGAATCAAGCAGAGATTTAAAAAAACCTATTAGGGTTAATTATCTTATGTTATAGTATTACCACAGTTCCTGATAAGTATTAAATAGTGTGAGATTAAACTAATATATCATGTTGTGTAACTATATGGAAGAAAAAACAGATTAAATTCTATTTACTATGTGAATTCTTGTTGTCAATCCTTTATCGAATAATTAGGTCACTGTGGCCGATAATAAAGGATGAAAAAAGAACGTAATTCCGAGTGAGAGTAATTTACAGAAATGAATAGGTGAAGTGTTTTGTTAACGATGCAAAATAGAGGATAAGAGTAAACTTTATATTCTAACCTATCGATGGTTATTTACAGTCTATGGCTTAGTGAATAACTCTTTAGGTAATGGATTGAAATTCCATCGTAAGAATAAACACTCGTATATAAATAAATCCAGCTGTATGAGTTACAATAAGACAAAACGAGGGTCCTAGGTTCCAGTATTAGCTTCAGTCCAAAATTATACGGAATTATTTTAATTTTATTAAGAGCCATCAAACATTTTGAAATAATGTTTTTGAGCGTTAAATCAACAGAAAGATATTAATTTGAGAGCTCCGTTCTTAGGAGATCAGGAGTTGCAGTGATTTTACACGCTCAATAAAATAATAAAAGATATCAAGCTATAATCTAGTGAAAAACGATAGGTAAGTATTCGCCAATGAAACCAACGTACACACGCATTCACATTTTACTAACAACAATATGTTCATTTGAATAACCAAACCAAGCCGAGAAACAGCGTTCACCAAAGTTTCATCTAAAATGCGGATGAAAACTTAGTGTTTTCATCACGAACTGAAATCAGCTAATCATGCCAAAATGGTATTTAGCCAAACGAATGAATGCATTTCACGCCAATATCCAAAATCTGTTACTCTGTATCTGATTGGCTCGTCCACAAATTATAGTCTCGTCGACATTGGTTTTAACAACTCCATACAATTTAAAATTCTCATTACCCTGTATTTATGAGCAAAGGTCTAAACATTTTGATTGTATTTTGCTATACAAGCTCTCACATGAAAATTTATTCTACACCAATCTACACATCAAAGACTTAGCTTACTATATTTAGCTCATGATTTTACATATCAATATGAAACCAACGATTAATATGATGCCATAATTATCAGGTTTATTAATTAATTAGCCGATTATCAATAAATCTAGTGGCATTGTGGTTTTTGATACTTATCTCGATATAAGTAGTATGCTCTCTTTAAGATAATAAAGGGAATTATATGTATGAAATAATTTTGTTTATCATGAAATAAATATACATAAGAGTATTATAGTTTCCAGTTTATTATATCTGATTGAAATTTAATCATATTTCAAATATATTAGTTTAAATCAAATTGACTATATATTAATTAAAGTTAACTCACTTGAACATCTAATGGAAAATCATTTAATTCTAATGTCTCCAAAAACACACCTCTTAAACGACGACGTTCAACAATGAAAATTTCATCATGTTCATTTCTTTCTGTAATGATCCAATGTTGTTCTTTAGATTCACTTAATATATTATCAATAAGTATAAGTGGATTCCAACAGCGTTGTAAATCTATTTTACGAAGATTCTGTAACATAAAGTTTGCGATGAATAATGAATTTATAAAATAAAATTTTGACTTTCACCATTCAGTATAGGGTTGTGGAGATTATTATGTTATTGGTTGAGATCAAAAACTGATTGATGTTAGACCACCATGGAAAACCTAGAAGCACTGGACAGGCCGTTTCGTCCTATCGCGGGACTCCTCAGCAGTGCGCATCCATGACCTCGCCCCCTGCGAGATTCGAATCCAGGACCTACTGGCTTCGCGCGCGAGCACTTAACCACTAGACCACTGAGCCGGCCGGCATCCAACGGTGTTAATGTCTAACTTCAACTAATGATGTGACTGAAAGCCTCAGTTTTATAAATAGTGTAATTTGAATGTACTGAATGCAAATAATGTCTAAAATGAAATATATGGATATATATTACATAACCTAATAATAACAATCTTTATTGAACCATGTATAGATTACATTAAATAATAATGAACTAATCTTTTCGTATGTGATGAAATTACGTAATTTGTTTTTTGTATTTGAAACATTAAAAAGAAACAAAAAGGAACAAAATGGACATAAAATCTATTTTTATCCTAAGTACAAATATCACTTTTAGTATTGAATAAGTTAGAACTATGTGACATTTTTATTCAACAAAAGTTTGTATCCATTGTGTATTGACAATTTATACTACCGAAGAAATATTCTTTCCTGATTCATCAATTCATAGTATATATAGTATATATAGACATAAGATTACAATGTAGTTCATGAAATATAATTCAGAGGGGATGCATCTAGTGGAATACTAACTCAAAGATTACGTAGGACAATACAAAAGTCTTTTAACGCCTGAGAACTGCGATTAGTATTTTCTACGCGCCCAATGGTTACACCGAAGCTAAAAGATGAATTACCTAGAACAACCACCTTATTTTGTATTTATCAGATCGACTGCTCCTGTGGAGCGAATTATATTGGTCGAGGTTCTAGCTATTTACATTTTCGTGCTCGTGAACACCTTCCAGCGTGGCTAAACAAAGGTTTGATGAAGAAAGTGAACGGATCAATTTTGGTCCAATTAGTACAAACTGGTCATAGTGTCAGTATAAACCAATTCCCTTTCAATTATTTATAAGGTCAGTATTTTTTTCAGACTTAAAATTATTCAAACAGCTAAAGCAGTAGCCATCCGCATGAAGAAACCTGAGCTATGCATACAAAAGAAATATCTTCAACCCCTTCTCATCCCCTGGCCAACCTCAAAGCCAATTAATCAATAGTAATCTTAGCTATTGAATGACCTAATTTGACTATGGCCTTTCGTAGTCAAATGTAATTGTCTCTGTTATCTTTATTCACAAATCTTTGTATTATTATTCTGTTGGTTAAACATCATTATTAATCTCCCCAACACATGATTCATTCACTTCTCATTCATCCCTTCTTATTAAGTCGTAATAATTTTTCGCACAATACAGTCTTCCACTAAACATTTGATCGAGTTGTAATTGCACTATTATTTCTCTCACTCTATCTGATCCATATTTATTCAGATCATGGATCTTAAACTTTCATTTAACATATTAGCTGATTCAAGTTAACATTCTACATGAGTCATATCAACGTTAACAATTTTATTCTATTTTGTTTGACAATCCTAAATTCACATGCTTTAAACGATGTACTTTGCTCTTAACCTGTCCATTTTTCGGATTATTAATTGGGATCATTTAATTGTAGAACCTGAAGAGAATTTATCGAAAACAATATTCTTCGTTCAAATACTTGTCTTTTAAATATAAATATACTTGAAATGTAAACACAACATAAAAGTACTTAGATGTATTGTAATGACACTTATGAATTTTACTTACTTCATCTGTTTTACCATCTAAACGTGGTTCTCTCCATTTAGCTTGTATAAATGCATCAGCGTGATAGATTTCTTTCAATGTATCAATTTCACCAATTTTTAAAAATACAACACGAATTTGTACTGATACCTGTATTGATAAGAAATAATAGTTGTATGAAATGGAATTGAATATGTGACTAGTTTCTTTAAATAAAATGTCTTTTCTATAATTCAGAATACTATGATACCATACCATCTTCTTAATGTCTTAGGGTAAAAATAAGTATTACACATGCTCATTGAACACTTCTTCATATCTTCATAGTGCGACACATATAAATCAGTGGATGTTTATTCCAGTTGACTTACTTCAGTATAAGTTCTTAAAGGAATCACTTTATTACTGGTTTATTAGAAAGAGAAAAAACAACTTATCGTATGACTCTATCTTGCTGAATCTTAAGAGAATTCGTTAGCAGAGATTAAATAAGTAATGACTAATTTTTTATATCAAACTATTTATTACTAAGCAAAGATGGATATTGGCTAGTAGTGGAATCCAGGGCTCACGTTTTGTCCTATTTGGGACTCGTCAGCTGGATATACTTGTATCTCAGAGTTGATGTTCACTCTGGGACTCGAACTCAGTACTGTTTGCTTTATGACTAAGAGAAGAATTTAGAAAGAAACATTATTGAAACAAATCTATTCCCATTGAGATAAATGAGGTTATGTAACGATATATCTAAAATATTAAGACTACGAAACCGATGAAAAGCCTTAAATAAATACCATCCTTTAACAGGTTATAATTACTTCTATTACTAAATATTTTTTAGCTGTTACAGACTGTCTGTTTATTGACTGAAAGTGACTTTAAATTCTCATCTCTGGTTCATGTATCTCTATGTTTCATTTATGCTTAAAATACTATTTGATATAGATGTACATAAATGAATTAAATCAACATTCCAGCACTTAATGAAGTCTTAGATTTAGGTGAATACTTTAATATTTAAGTACATACAGGATTCGTTAAATTGTAGCTTTATCTTTGATTCATAACCAAATTGTACCGAAAAAATATATTTTAAACTGTGTTATCTAGTTTAGTGCATTTCCAGAAATACTCAGTGACATACCACGGCAGGGTTTTTCACATATTGACTACTGTCATAAAAATAATTCAGTGTGTTTGCTAGGGAATGTCCATATATTGTAGCTATAGATGAGTTAGGTATAAAAAAACAACAAACATAGGATCATACATTAGATTTAGAAATCCTCATACAATGCATTATATATTCATGAAAGTCTTTATAATATGTGCAGTGTGCTGTTCACTTCAGGTTAAAATAGTTTTTTACTTATATATCATTAGCCTACCTCTGAAAGCAATAAGTTATTTTATTACTTTAGAAAGCAATTATGTTGTATATTGATTAGAAATTTGGAGTACATGAGTTGGTAATAGAATCATCTCTATTACTGGCCAGTTAGTTTAACTGATGAAGCTCTCTTCAAATATACAGTTTTAATTCAACTAAATGACTGATAACAGTATTTTTGAAATGAAGTTATTTTCTATTTGTATCAGAAGGGGTTTTGTGGAGATCGTAGTAATTTCAATAGTTATAGTTTTCCATGGTGGTCTATCTTCAACTGGCTTATGATCTCAACTATTGATATTTTCTATTTATTTCTTTTACAGATAGTTATAGATTATAGTAGTTTTCACAATTTACATCAAGTTTTTAACATTCCACTTGTGAAAAAGTGCTTAGTAGTTATTTTAAATCCACCTATCTATCATTTACACTTGATTCAGTACTGCTATGTATAGACCATTATTCATGTTTCAATATATTTCTGAACGATAGGGTTGGGTATGGATACCATTCCTTTTGAAATAACTCAAGAAGACATTTATAAATATTTCTACTTCGTGGTTCGAAAACCTACAACATCGAAAACGAACAATTTTTCATTCTGTACAGTTCTATAACAATATTCTTTTTATCTGCAGTAACCTAAAGAATTGCTTCTAAAGCAATCCTTCGACTTCTTAATACTTTGTTGCTATATAACTATTGGAATTGACAAAGGTTCGATAACCGATGACCACCAAATTTTGTATTCACCTAAATTGGTTTACTTCTATACCATTGTTTACTGTCAGCTGTATGGTCTAGTAATTAAGTGAAACAAAGTGCCTTGATTAGTTGGTTAACAAACCCCGAATGTTCAAATCAAAATCCTAATAATCATAGAGTGTAACATATAGATAGAACAATAATCTTCTCACTAAATTCTAACAACAAACAGCAAAGTTACCATTTTTGTTTCAATTAATGTGAGAAAAATCCTGCATATGAAAACAAACTCAAAAACCGGAAACTATATTTGCCTTCTCCATATTATATCCTGAATAGATTTTGTATAAGTGAGACTAACAGTAATATGAATAAAACTAATAATGTCAGTAAAGAAGAAGGATGCATTTGTAAAATTTCAACAAATGAATTTGAAATAAATCCAACATTTCATCTGGCAATCTGATCCAATGGTTAAGATCATGAGTCAGTTGAAGCTAGATCACCATGGAAAACCTGGAAGCGGTGGACAGGCCGTTTCGTCCTATCGCGGGACTCCTCAGCAGTGCGCATCCATGACCTCGCCCCTGCGAGATTCGAATCCAGGACCTACTGGTTTCGCGCGCGAGCACTTAACCACTAGACCACTGAGCCGGCCGGCATCCAACGGTGTTAATGTCTAACCTCAACTAGTCCATGAAATTGAGCGATACATTCACCATTGTCATCAGTGAGTTACTATCCCACAACAGACCTGGTTGAACTCCACTGGTCACTACTTCTCACTAGAACTCCATTAAATACCTCTTGAAGCCAGTCGCCAGTGAGCATATGATAATTATAATCAGACAGGGGTTTTGTGGATATTATAGTAATTTCAGTGGTCAAGATCGTGGATGCGCACTTCTGAAGAGTGCCACGATAGGACGAAACGGCCGTTCAGCGCTTCCAAGTTTTCCATGGTGGTCTAGGTTCAACTGACTCATGATCTTAACCACTGAAATTACTATAATATCCACAAAACCCATTTGATATTAAATATCAACGTCTTGTAGAGGTTAATTTACCCTGTATCTGACTCCAATATATAGTATCCCATTAACGGAGTATTTAATGCAGGCTAAATCTCCTAGTAGAATTATGGATTTACTCGAGATTATTCAAAAGCCTGAACACCAGTGAAACTAAGAGTATGTGACAAAAATCCATATATATTTTATGATTGTTAATCAAGTATGGATAAATTATTGATTGTTTGTTTATTACAATCAATGGGAGAATAGATTAAAAATTGATGTGCAGACTTGTGCTCAATCAGACTCACACAGAAATTTACATAATGGATTAAATGTCTAAATTACAATGAGTAGATAGTAGTTGAATAGGCTTACTACAGTCTCACATCAACTCAGCGCCCAAAATATTATGAAACTAATAAATGTCAATAATTAAAAATATAACTTTTGATTTCTTTCATGAATATGTTTCTTCTTCTTATTCAATACTTTGGTTAAATTAGTGTTAAACTGACATTTACAAAAACAAAACAAACAAACAACCTGGTACTTTGTTTATTTCTTCATTTTGTTGTTGTTGTTTGGTTTTTATTGATTGATTTACAAAACTCATATACATGAAAAAAATGGTTGTGTATACATTACCGAAATTCATTATGATTATAAAAAAGAAAGAATATAACAACTAAAATCTAATAAATATTTCTTCACTATAATCTATATTGAAAATTGGATTAAAATTACCATTACAGTTAACTACTACTACCACTACTACTATAAATAGAATCATTTGAATAGATTACAGCTATGTTTATTTCTTTTTATTATAGAAGAAACTTATTATAATAAACAATAAACCACTTTATTTTTATGATCATTTTTTTTATTCTTTTTGTTGTTGTTTTTGTTGCTATTCAATTACAACTTAAATGAACCACTCGTTGTAATAAGAAAAATATATAAACAAACTAATATTGAATAATATTGATTATTGATTTATTGAAATAAACAAATTTTTTATGTTTAGTAAACATTCATATCAATTTTATAGGGAATTTATTGATTATTTTGTTTATATTTATGTAAGATAAAATGTGGTTTCTTGGTTTATTTATTTATTTTACTATATACAAAATGAAGCATGAACTTTGAATTGTATACATTATAATGTAAATGTAAGACAATTATTGTGTCTAGTTGTTAGTTTGTCTCGCCCAAATCAACAATTGTATATGGAATAACAATATATGTTACAATTAGATAGGGGTTATTTTTGCGGAGATTCTAGTAATTTAATAAATGAATTCATGAGTCAATTGAAGCCAGAGCACCATGGAAAATCTGGAAGCATTGGATGGCCGTTTCATTCTAGTATGGGATTCCTTAGCAGTGCTCTGAATACGTATGTTATTCACCATTTAAAAACAGTTCAATGACGAAAATTTCTGATTTAAATTTATTTATTTATTTATTTGAACACATAAATATTGGTAAAAATGGGCGCTGAATATATATCCACCACACAAGTCACTTTATTTGTGTGTAGGCTGTGATACTACCCGGGTGCCCAAACCGAAGAAGGTGGTGTTTTTAGAGGGCCACACCTTGAGTCTTCAATCTAAAAATCTGATCCACAAGGGTAACATTAGGAGATACAGTCCCATGGTAGCCGGGACCAACAATAGGTTCAAAAGCCATTTATTCCCTCAGGATACTGGAGCCCATGTGCACCATTGATTTGGAATCAGGGTTTTCCAACTGTCCTAGGTAAACTCCCCATATCCACCAACCCGGTTAAAGCGCCAGACGTTCGCTTTTCGTCCCCTCAATTTCGTAAACAACACCCCTGCCATGAGAAGTCAGTGAGTAGGACTTCTCTGGCAGTGCCTGTATACGCGTGGCCGTGTGAGAGCATTTGGAGAGGGAGAGCAGACTGTCCCTACTCTTGGCCGTACCAGGGCATTTGGAAGCGATTTAAATTTACAACATACTAGAACAATTAGTGTTTGATACGGTACAATTAAAGCAACTTAGTAAGA